TATCTGAAAATTATGTAAGCGATCTAAGACATCTGTATAAATATTAAGAGACCTTAAAGGGTAACCATAAATTGTGTACAAGTTACTAATAATTTACAAGATTAAAGTTTTAACAATTGTCTGAGAATTTTTATGTCGGCAGAATGCGTTAAAAAATGTTGCGTTTGTTGAGTATCACATGCCTAATGAACTAACAATGTACAATACAATTGTGTTTTGATTTGTGATATTGTTGGATACATATCCGATTTATAATCATAATTTTAATATGACAACTGGAAATTTGCGTGATAATAACCAAAAAATATATATTCGAAATGAAAATTCAATAAAAGTATTGTTCACTTGGATAAGTTTGAAATTAAGATATCTTAATTAGGAAAATGATTACTATGTTGTTAATTATACTTGGGTATAAATACGTCAATATAAGTGATACATTTCATTGGAACAACTATAAGTAGTAGTCACGATATTGACACCATGACGTACTGATTTGAATTTTGAACAATATTCAAGCGCCAGTCAAGTGTTGCTGATTTGTATTCGCTCATCGAATGTGGCCTAGATAAAACGTCGCATGGAATAAAAAGTGCAAGCAAATTTACAATTGTATCAACCGCGAATGCAACACGTGTAAGGATCGCAAAACGGTAAAAAATATGTTCATGTATAAATTGGTAATTTTTGAAAGTTCCACGTGATTAAAATATTTGCACTTCGAGCAATTCAACTCTTTTAACAATCAGCGATCAATTGTTGTCTTCAAATACAAACTGTCAATCACGTATATAATGTGACCATGTTACGCCTCCGCGATATATTTATTAAGAAAAGTTAGTTTATACATTTTACGTGGGCAGCTTCTAGTGGTTAAGACCATACTTAGGCTACATTTTTATACACTACAAGAATCATCGTTATTTGGCACGGTTTACAATCACTTAAGAAATGATTGTGATAATACAATAAAATTTCAAACGGAATATGAAAAATTCTCAAAGTTTAATGAACTTGAAGATCATTTTTCATTTTTTAATGTTTACTTAAAGAGTTATAGTAGCGATAGTGAAAGTCGTGAAAAGGGTTATTGATTTATTTATTAAAGATTTATAAACAATAAAAATAATCAAATTGTTGAATAGTATCCATATAATTGTCAAGCATATCACACGCTGAGAAATGTCTAAGTATATTGGTCAATATAAACGCTAACAATACCACGTTAATAATTCGAGTATTCCGTATATTTATTTCTATTAACGTTGAAATATATAATTTAAATTTAAATAAATAACTGTGTTTGATTATAATTTTTCAATGACAAACAAATATAAGAAATAATTTACCGTTAAACTAGTTAATATATTCATAGAGTTATCATGTTTGCTATGTTACTCTTTAAATTCTTGAAATTTGTTGTTTTTTATTGTTATAATCCATTAAGTACCTAAAATGCGTAGGTATTAGTCTGAAGTAAACAAAAAATAACAAATATATTTTTATTAAACCCAACCATTTCATTACTTATTTATTATTAAAAAACTGTTAAGTATGATGATTTATTGTGTGAAACGCGAAAAAATTTACTTTTTATATTTTTATAGAAAAACATTTAGTAATCGCAGTAATGGCGTTTGAATAAAAAAAAAATGTTACTAATTTAAAAGGAATACCAGTTATTTTACAGTATTGTTTGAAATACAGTTAATTGTGTTTTAAAAGTAGCATATTTATTTCTGTTAACTATGTTACACTTTGTAATTAATTTAATGTATATTGATATTACAGTATACATAATTTTTCAAGTAGTTTAACTTAAACACATTTTTACTCAATCTACTGATACTTCTTGATTCAATTTAGATTTATCGCAGTAAAGAATATTGTAAAATAGACATGTATTTAGCTTTAAGTACTGAATTATAATTGAGTACTTTTATGAAATATGCATATTTCATGGAATATCGTTAATAATATTTCTATGTTCAAATAGGCATGTTAAACAGTTTAAATTTTGACAAGTAACTTAATTATGCGCGAGCCGACTATAATCTTTCTCAAAATCTTATTACGGATACATTAAAGATGCATTATGCAACTTTGGCAGGCACTAAACAGAAAATGGTTTGTGTACAAACATCTTTTAGTTGTTAACTATAGAGGCGGAATTCATCCGTAACCAAAAAAGATAGATGATATTTATATGCTAGTCTATTATGAAATGAGCTCATTTGTCTTAGTAAAATTTAAATATACTTTATCGGGATAAAGGATGACATGATAAAATTTTGAATAATTTCTGCTCAGACGCATTACATCGCGATGTAAACATGCTCACACACACACACACACTTCAGGCTTGTTTATTGTACTAAATACGAATGGATACAGCGGAAGTTAAAATATAGCTCTCCGTAGGTCGCCTATTATTAAACACGTGTTTGGCCCCCGTCGAATAGATAATAAAAAAATGTAACTAGCCAACGAAACAGGTGTTTGATCTTCACAAGATGAGATAATTTGAAGAAAAGTGGTATTTCTCTCGAAATTATGTAACATTTCATGCAGCTAAAAAAAAACAAGCCTTCGGAATTAATCATAAAAAAGACAAAACTACTATACCACGATAGTTAAATTATTATTACCGGTGACCTTGTATTGGCTTTTCTTTGCTTTTGAAAGAGTAAAGATTTCAGTTCTAAAATCGCTAGTTTTACTATTTAATATACTTCAGCTTAAAGTTTAATGTAAAATGGAGCAGTAATAATGGAAAATTATTGAGTATTCAATTGTGGCTATTTAAATAAATCTAATCACTTAAACAGTACGACAAATGAATAGTTATTGACCCCGTGGGAATACTATAAAAATCATATTTTCGTTGACACTTTTTAACAAGTAATTTATTTTACGGTGTCAAATAAAAAAAAACCTTAAGCATGACAATAACGACGGCTAATAGGTCACAAGAACGTGATACGAATGATCTAGAAATAAAAATTTGTTTAACAGTCATGTTATATAGGCCGATGATTGGCAGAGACTTGAACGCTACTGGTGTTTTGGCACATTCGCCTACTGCAAAATGCGGCGTAGGCTTCTCACCATTAATCATACAGTACAAATATATGTATCAAAGAATAGCATACTATATAATAACACATTCTTGTCTCGTTTTGTATGTATTCGTATGAGAAACACTGGAATAGCATGGTCACTGAGAATACTATAGTAACATACAGTAATGTTAAATGATCAAACTGTATCGTGTTTGTGTTATGGGAACCATTGTAAAAGACAATTTTTTCAATTTTATACTTGTAATATATTTTATTATTTGTATACAGACAAACAAATGGCAACGAATAAACAAAGAAATAAATGAATGGAGGTCTTGACGATGGAAATATAATACCTCGAAGGCGGTAACGGCCTGATGGCGATAAGATTAAGTGGAAAATCTAATAATATTAACAATATGCAGCAAACTCGAAGCACTCCTCTTGCATAGGCCGTTTTGAATTATTAATACAAAACGATACCCGCAGTCGTTCATTTTACGATTATAAATTATTTTTATTACTTCCAATACTTGTTTATATCATATTATTAAAAGTTCTGCGAGAGATTGAGAATAATTATACGGAATGATTATTTCTTTGTTAACATCGAAATCTAAAGTCGTCTCGTTCAAAGCAAATTAGTCATTTGAAACGCTGACCGGTTGGCGACAGTCAATTAATTATCGAGGCGCATTTCAAACTTAACTGATGAGTATACCTGTTATACTCGATATTATGAATAAGGATAACGGAATACAGGCTTTTGCCCGTATAAATTAATAGAAATGGTGACAACCCGAGGGACTCGAATTATAATAGTAAAATAATGTTTGCGGTTTTAACGTTAAACGGATTACCGGTTACTTTAGGGTCAGCGAACGGCCTTGTTCGTAAAGTGATTTTTGTGTAGTATTTGGTCTGTAAATCAACCATTTACTTGTAATTATGTAAACATGTTGTCGATGGTCTAAACGACTAACTATACGAAAATTCGTTACATCAAGAATGGAATTTGTGGAAATAAATAACATTATAAAATATTCTAAAGCTAAAAATATTCTTAAACTATAAGATTAAGTGTTTTAAAGATTTACAAGTAGCACAAAATATTAGCAATGGACCTGGCAAAAGTTTTATAATATTAAACCATACTTATAACTAATTTAAAAAAAAAAGCAAAATTTAATTGTGTGTAATGTATAAAACTATTCTACAAGTACAAATATGTAGAATTTTTATTTGTGATAATACAATTAACCATTAAAAATTGATATCAAATATATTGCACCTTTGTTAGTTGTTATTATTAATGTTATATATCGGATAGGATGGACACCCAGAATAAAATCNGTGTTATATATCGGATAGGATGGACTCCCAGAATAAAATCTTATTGTTGAGTGTATGTCGTGATAGACAAAAGCTAAGCATACTTGGAAAATAATTTTAATGCAATATTAACAATTTTAGTATTTTATTGATAATAAAATACCGATTTGTGATTTTTATCTTAGTCTAATAGAAATATACTACTAATCTAACAAAAAAAAATTAAATTAAAAAAATAAACAAATTTCATTATATACGTATTATTATTCCAAATAGAATAGAAACATGAGTAACTTAATAATAATAATCTGAGAAATCATGTATTATAGTAAATAAATTAGTTCATAATTGAAATTAATTGAATTAACCGTTTTTTAAAATAATGTAAACATTTGTAGTTTTTTGTGCCGAGAAAGTTTTCTTAGGTACTAAAAGCTTAGATACCGTCATTGTTAGCTTAACACTATTATTAAAGTATTATTAAGTCTGTATAATGTGTAATATTACATCATATAGATAATATTTAATATATTTTTAATTGAACAGAAATGAATTTTACTCACTTCTATTGACTGCTTTGANTGAACAGAAACGAATTTTACTCACTTCTATTGACTGCTTTGATAGGCGCAGCTTTTTTCTGCGTAACAGTAGATTCCACTGGTTTCTTTGTTTTATTTTGATTTGATTTCGTTTTAGATGACACAGGATTAACTTGAGAATGTACTTGGCGATAGGGTACATGCTGTTCATCAGAGTATCTGACTAAACCTCTGTCAGAGTTGACGGTGGCAGCTGAAAGGATTTGTACGGTCGCCAAAAGTGCCGTGACGGTAACAATGTACAAGTTGTTTCCACGCATTGTACACATTGTAATATTCAAATAATAATTATAATTAGTGATATAGATAGTTTAAAAATTAGTGTTTAAAACTGTTCAAACATTTAAGGTAGATTGTCTGGTTCGATCTTGCTGACCGATACAGTTCGATGTGGTCCAGTGTCATGGTCGAGAATGCGTTTTTATATAAAATCGTTAGGGTGCTCCCCACCTGGCCGTGACCTAAACCTTGTCACTGTTTGGCACTGTCTTTGCAGTACCAATTACGTGACCGGTATCCACTTATCATATGAGACTCAATGAAAGTTTGATGTATTGAAAATGTGTACCATAATTGAAATAATAACGTTAATTTTGTATGTATAAACATGTTTATTTAAACATGAACTTTCAGCGTATCTAGCAAACTTTATTTTGGAACTTTAAGAAAAATTAGACCTTTTTTTTTTTAATTTTTACTGGTATGCTTCGTGCCGTTGCATATGTCAATTATCACTAAAACCGACATTATAAGCTAATTGTAAATATGCTAAGGACATGAAAAAAAAATTACAAGAAGACATCTAGTTTTAGGTTAAGAATTAGAACAAGTATAATTGATATCATATTTTACGTTTTTTAACTTTATGTTGCTATAACTTTTTAAAAAATGTATGAATCAATACTATTATTTTATGATAAATATTTTTTATATACTCCTTTCATTCAACATATTAATTTTACCATGATGTGTTTATTTATTTATTTATTTTTTTTTTTTGTGTCTGTCACTATTTTTTTTTTTAAACTGACCATTTCCCTTCATACAAGGAGGGTCAAATTTTAAATATGCGTATAGAAACTAGGACTTTTTCAACTTAACTTTTGAAAATGTTCCGGAATACAGACACTTTTATATAAACCTTAAATTAAAGCTTATATCTTCTTCTTCTTCCTCGCCTTAATCCCGACTACTTGGGGTCGGCCACCCTTATCCCAAACTTTCACTTGACACGATCTCCCACATCATCTACGCTCACAACAGCTGTCCTCAATTGTATTCAATAGCATTCCTCCATCTTTTTTTTTGGTCTTCCTCTACCTCTTCTTCCTTCAACATTCATTTCTATAATTGTTCTTACAGCTTCCGATTTTTCTCTCCTCATAACCTGACCAAACCATCTAAGTCTATTTTCTCTCATCTTATCCATGATTGACGCTACACCTATACTCCCTCTTATATGCTTGTTCTTTATCCTATCTTCTCTAATCACTCCACTCATCCATCTAAGCATTCTCATCTCTGCTACACTCATTCTCTGCTCTACTTTCTTATCAACCGCCCAACACTCTGAACCATACATCATAGCTGTTCTCACTACAGTTTTGTAGAATTTACTTTTCAGCCTCATTGGAATTTTTTATCGCATAAGACATCAGACGCTTCTTTTCACTTCAATTTTAAATTAAAGCTTATGTAATTTACTTTAATTTGAACAAAAAAGCTTTATATCTGGGCTTGTGTTCATGATAAAAATGATTACTGTATTTAAAAACATGCTATTTTTTTATTAAAAAAATTTCGATTCTCGATTTTGTATTTTATTTTAATTTAAAATACCTGACAAGTAAAGTACATTGATTTTCATAAATAGTACATAAATCTAATTGACATAGCATAGAAAGTTATTATAGAACTTATTTAAATTTTTTTGCTTCTTTTTAGTTGAGAAAAATAATTTTGAAATTTGAACTAACATAAATTGTCTTTTTTATCATTCGCCGAATGCGTCGTACAGTTCCCGAGTCATAACACTTATGTTTATCACGCTTGTGGTACGAGGTTCTCCAAACCATTTGTGACAAGGAAATTTTTTGCATTTTTTAAAATTTTTTTTAGTTAGAACAAATGTTCAACTCATTTTATTTTTATCTTATTTAGATACAACAACTTCAATGATTATTAAGGGCTCCATCACCGTAGTCTACCCTCGTGAGAATATTTTTTTTTTTTTTAACGCTTTCTAAGCCCTTTAAGGAGGAGGTTTCTTAACCATTGATACTCTTGGTTGGTTTGTCCGTTGCCGGAGAAAGGGATGGCGACTCTAATTACCAAACTGATCTCTCGTTCGTCAAATGAAGCCGCCCGTGACCGAGTTTCGAACCCGAGGCAGTGCGCATCAAACACTGCCGCGTTACCGATTAGGCCACACCGCTCCGCAATTCTTAATATTATAATAATGTGAAATTGAAATTAATGTGATTAACTATCATACTTTAAGTATCAAATACGATCCTCGTACCAGAAGTTATCAAAGATTGTGTTGAGATTGTGAGTCGTGTGAATATATACTTTGTGTAGCATAGAAACTACAAATGGGTTCTTTATGGTCGCAAGATAGTCTCTGTTTGTATTTACCATATAGGTAACCAACTTAAAAATTGGACTAGGATGGTTTAATTCGTACAAACGTTATCGATTTTATTTATTAAAACAATATTCTATTCTTGTGATCATCTAATTTTTTTGATTTCCCACTTAATTTATGTACTCATTTTACTTAACTTTCAACCTTAAAAATTTTATATGAAATATAAATTTGTCTTCGTGATGTCTGAAATAAGGTTAAATAAATATACTTTGATTTTTGTGGTGTATAGTATGCGCCAGACCACTTCATGAACTAGTTTAATAATCATTATGTGAAAAAAGAGTGAGCTAAAGTAACTTTTGTGTGTCCTTTTATTTTAAATTTAACTCATTAGTATATGCAAAAAGTCTCACGATCTTTACTATTATCTGTTTATTACTCGATTGTGTTAATTATTACAGATTATTTTACTTTCAAAATATGTTTTATGACAACTTAAGAATCCCTCATACTTTTTATATTAGGTGTTTTTCAATGCATTTTTGTACATTTTTCTAGGAACAACAATTATAAAGAATAATATATAATATATGTACTCATTATAGTTAACCTTATAAATCTTTCTTTTAAAACAATCTGTATGAATATTTGTGGTAGCACAATATAGTCAGTAGAGTCATTATGGATATATCAAATTAAACATAACACAATTTTTACATCAAAGTATTATTATATCAATCGACTATTTTTGATAAAAAAATTATTAAACATATGTATTTTTTTAATGTGATTTGGCTGATATTTAAGTATATTATAAGTAGGAAAAAAATTATTCAATAATTATAAACATACATTTTTTTTTTTAATAAAGTTTAAGCTAAAATATATGAATATTCTTGAAAATATTTTTAACGATGGTTGATCAATAAATACTTTTCAATTATTATTTTTTTATCAAACAATTAATTTATACTAAATATAATAGATAACATAAAAATACAATTTTATGCTATGATAAAATTATACATCAGTATAAATTTAACTAAAAATTATGAAAAATCAGCAAACCTATGTGAAGTCACAGTTTTACTTGTATGTAAATGTAATAATATAATATAATATAGTAATATAATAATATAGTAATAGTAATATTATTTTTAGCCAAAAACTAAATAATAGAGACCGTTTTTTGTTATTTGGGGAATTTTTGGTCAAAATACTAAAAACACAATGAAAAACCAGCCTACATTTTTAAAAAATTCAAAACTTCCCATAATGCTTAATTTAATGTTATATAATATGTTAAAATAATTCTCATTAAAATTTCGAAGATCGATTTATTGATCCACTTTAATTTTAAAATATATTTTGTTACATGAAAAAAAACTAAGATAATAAAATTGTATATATCCATTCCAAAAAAGGTAACAGCAAATTTGTAGATAATTTTAATTTTAAATATTGCCGGATTATTCTAAAATCGTAAACAATTATTATAACAAATATAGTATGAAACTAATGTTAAATAATTTAGTATTGTAATGTTAACGGAAAAATTATAAGAAATTTTAATGTAGTAATTACTTTTATGGCAAACCTACGCATATGATAAAAACTATTCTGATATTAATTTTTGAGAATTTTCGGAATATTATTTAAAAACCAAAAAGTTTATCATATAACAATTGTACTAGTGTTTCTGGTTTGAAAAAAAATGTTCATAGCAACTATGAATATATTTAAAATATGTAGATTTTCACACAAAAATCAGTTACAAATTAATAAATCAATAATCGATAATTTTTAGTACAAAATAGCCAACATTATTACACGTATAATAAGAGTTGCCAAGAAGAAATTTGGCTTAAGAAAAAAATCCAAAGGTAATTCTATGAACATTTGAATGTTTGCTAAATTTATTTATGATTAATTCTTACGTGTTATTATAATTATGGTTTAAGTTATCATTGATTTTTATTTTATTTAGTTATCCCAGAAGATTGTGGATCGCAAACAAATAAATTGGCAGAAGAAATGATAGCGCCAATAAAATCTGTTACAGAAATAAATATTTTAGAGTCACAGATCAAGGAAGTAGAAAACATAGCAGTTCAGACGTCTCTATTAACCTCTGACAAACTTACTCAGACAAATAATAAACTTATTTATAATGTGTCTGAGACACAAACAGAAATGTCGTTGTTTAATTCGTTAAGTTGTGAAATACAAACTGACGTCTCATTAGAAAATCTCATTTTAAATAAAAAATCTTTGGACGAGCCTCATAGTTCAATTTCAAAATTAATAAATTATATGCACACTGGTTCTCAGTGTTGCCTCTTATCTACTAAAAATGAGCCTCTTTTAAAAGGTATGTTTAATTTAACCACTGAAGGTAAATTTGAACAAGTTTCTAATAAAAATATCACATTAGTTAATGAATTTAGAGAGCATGATTTACAGTCATGTACTTCGTTGCCTTTAGAAACATCTATAAAAGATATGATTACTTTAAAATTTAATGAACATTTTTTTATTAGTAATTTAAAAATTTATATAAAGAAAACAATTTTTTTATTTTTAGTTGTGACAACGATTATTTATTTTTTCATAAATTATATAGCTTGCTATAAATCATCATTTTTAAAATAGGAATTTCTAGTTTGGATTTATATAAATAATTTTATGTTATTTTTAATTCGTGTAATATTAACTGTAAAAATCGTTAACTTTACTTTAATTTTGACTACTTTAAAGTTATTATATATTTAGTCATGAATAAATTTAAATAGACGTGTTTAATTTCTAGGACTTTGTTCTTTAAAGTATACGTTATTTAAATAGGTTAAAATAATTAGTTAAAATGAATTTAAAAATTAAATTTGTAAAATTTAAATTGGATATTAGCAACTATAATTGAGTATAAAAAAAATAAATAAACAATAGACTTTAATATCAAATTAAAAAAAAAAGTATTTGAAATTTTTATAAGTAAAACAATTTTTTTAATTTATATTTTAGAAGATGTGTCGAATGATTTGTCAAATGCTGAAGTGGGCGTTAATAAAAAATGCTCGGTAATTAGAAATCATATATTCAATTTTTTTCTATTTAACTAATACTGAACACTTTAGTTCTTTATGTTAGACTCTTACTATCAAGCATAGTTTTTTCAGAGAGGACTTATATAAATAAAGTTATAATAATTAATAGGTAATAATAACAATTTAATAGAATGACGGTGAAGAGAACAAGCAGAACAGAACTCAGGTCGATAATGGACTAAAAATCTATACCCTGTTTAATATTCCTCAAATTCAATTAAGGAATAATTATGTATATAACATGAGAGTACTGTATTGTCAAACAGATTATATTTGCATGACAAAAGTAAAAAATGAACAAAAAATAAGATTTATGGAAAATAGTATGAATTCACATTACAAACAATCACAAGATCATAACTATAAACCGCGACCTGATGAGCTTTGTGCTGTTAAATATAGTAATGAATAATTTTAATTATTAAAATAATATGAAGATAAGTAAACTTCATACGTTTGTATGATAGATTGTTAATTAATCAACTCAAATAATTTATTAGTATCTTTTTTCTTTCATATGAGAGCATCATAACTCATAATATATAAACAGTGTGTTTAATAAAAAAAATTCCATTACTTTCCTGTTAATAACTCTATTACTTTAACTTAGGTGATGGTAGTTGGTATAGAAGAGTTTGTATTGATGTTGGAAATAGCGTGGATGGAAGTCAATTTTATATTATTAATTTAATTGATTGGGGAGAGTCGGTTTCTGTAACATCTTCTGAACTGCGAAGATTGGAAACGTTTTATATGAAACACGCGCCTTTGGCAGTTAAATGCATCATATTAGGTACCTATCAAATTATTAATTTATTTGTTGAACACTTAACAATTTTTTTTATTTAGATTTCAAGTTAATTATCGCGCATCAAAAAAATCTGCGTAAACTGGAGAATAATGAATATAAATGTAAAATAAATTTAAGCTTAGCCCCCGTAATTTTTTAATATCTTCAAAAACAATTCTGGATATATTACGTGATCGTTAAAATTATTGATATTTTCTTATACATTATATTTTTTTGTTCAGTAGTCAATTAATTTACTTAACTTGTGTAAAAACAAATTGTTTACTGTTTTCATTATATAATTAAAAAATAATATTTACTTAGTTTGTTCGAGATAAATTTGTATAATTAAAATGTTTTTCTACTTACCAAATCGTTTCCTTTTAATAATTAGTTTGAGATTTTGAAAATTACAAATTAACAGATACTATAGATTAATGACAAAACTTTGTATTTAGAGTTTACTTGGGCTACAAGTATTATTATAATAATAAACGTAAAATAAAAATGTAAGTTACTGTTTTTTATTTGATAGAATTTTGAAAATGAATATTTTTAATCTTAATAAATTACAAATTTAATGAAACGTTTACATATATTAAAACTATATAAATTGTTATTACTTCAAATAAAAATTAATGCAGTACTAATATCACTATAAAAGTATAAAAAAAAAGTAGAGCTTATAATTATATAGTTGTTGATATTATAAAATATTGAATTTTATATGAAATAATGTTATGTGTGTTCGACTTTAAATATATATTTTTTCTCAAGATGTAGTTAAAATGGTTTTTTATTTTTGTCAATGTTCGCCCATAATTTCCACATAATAGCACAGACTTAATATAAATATAATATTCAGATAATCATGTGTAATATACTTGAGTATAGTAGCAGCGACCGACTATCAACCATCACTCTGAAGATGAACTCTGCAATGAGTCCGAAACGTCAGAAGTCAACTAAAAACATGGATAAATCTTTAAGCACTTTAAGTAACAAGACAATCCATGAAAATTTTAACACATTCATACTAATGTTTAATTTATGTCTATAGTGTCTTTATCTATATTGTCATTCTATTACTTAAAAAATCTTGATCGATTAAAATAAATTGTATAAATAGAACTATTAATTATTAATAGAATTATCGAATATGTTATATTTTTTCAAAAATATATATTTATTGACTGAAAAAGCAATATTGTATAACTAATGGTTTTAGATGTAAATTCTCATATAATTAATCATGATATTTTCAGAATGCTTGGAAGTGAATTATTTTGGTGATTTTATTNAATTAATCATGATATTTTCAGAATGCTTGGAAGTGAATTATTTTGGTGATTTTATTATCTACCATAAGCTTATTTCTACATTTTGATTTATAAAAAATAAAATAAAAATGTTAATCAAATATTTGCTGAAATGCCATTTAATGATAAAATAGATTAAACAAGTTTCATATGAATAAATTACAATCGTAGAAATTCCCATTACTTGAAAATTAAAATCTACTTATGTTAATAAAATGACAACCATGAAAAAAAATGATTGGTTAGTTTATTTAAATAATAAATTAGATTAATATATTTGACTTAAAAATAATTCACTTATTAATGTATGGGTGCAATTTGTGGAAGTAATGTGATTAATATCAGGTTTGATACGAAGTTGAGAAGGTATTATTTTTACCATGATGTGTTTATTTTTATCTATTTTTTTTGTCTGTTACCACTTTTTTTTAGTTCTCGTCGAACTGATTTCTTTCAACAATACGTCAAAAAACCACAAATATTATTTAGATAAGATATTGCCCTGAAAAATTGAAAAATGTCCACTTTATAAATTAAAAAGTTACTTAGCCACGTTCTTTTTATAGACAATTAAAATTATTCATTTTTAATGTTTTTTAAAGTATTGATTGTCGAATTAGGTTTGATATGATAATAGGTTTCAACTACAAAATTAAATAATTTTACCTTTTTATATATTAATTGACTATGGTCTACTACCGATCTACCAAATTTTTTTTAAATATGATACTGTATAAACAATTTCTAAGAAAATTTTTTTTATAGTTTCACTAGAATTTAACAATCGATTTTTACAATTATAATCAATTTTTATAATACGCACAATTGAGTAGATATTNACAATTATAATCAATTTTTATAATACGCACAATTGAGTAGATATTTTGAACAACTTTTTGAATAGTTCTGTAGATAAAGTAAATTATTATAATTATGTATAAATTAATTGTAGAATCTTTTTAAACACCAACAGTTACATAGAAATTATTACTACGATATCTGTTAAAATTATTTATTAGATAAAATTGCAAAAAATAGTGAATTTAATAAAATATTGAGCTTGTCTCATATATTGATGTAAATAGTGATTATAATATTTCCTGATTGCATATGAATTTTAACAATACCATTTTTTTGATTCTTGTAAATTATCTTTTTAAAGATTTCAATTTCAAACCTTTAAGTTAAGCTAAAAGAAAGTTATGATAAAAAGCTAAACCTTTTTGTAATATAAACTTTCAAAAAAATCAACTTTAAAAGATCAAAAAATAGGTTAAAAATGACATTTTGCATTGATTATTTTTAATATATTAAAGATCAAAATCATTAATAATTTGAAAAAATATAAAGAAAAATATATTCTAGTCTCTGATGAAAATCCCTTGTAAACCAGGGTATTTATTATCAAAAAATTATTTTCTGTAAAGTTTTACATCAAGCCTTTCAATTTTGTCAGAGAAATAATGAAATATACAATTACTTAATAATTTATTATAATATCTTTGAAAAATTAAAATATTCAATTATTGAGTATCAATTTCATACTAAATTTAATAACTATAATTATTATTTATTATTATATTATACTAGATCAAATAAATACTAAGCAGGGCATAATTTAGGAAATAAAAGTTGATGTTACTATTGTAATAATCCATAAATTTCTTAAATTAAACACTATTAACAAAAATGTTACTTATGATTTAACTTCTTTTAGATATCATCTTTACTTGTCCCAACTATGCCACGTCCACGTTGTGACGCGACACCACTGCACTACTGTTTTTTAAATTTTTTTACTTTACATTTATTTTTACTGAATACAAATAAATAAGAAGAAAATATAATTTTTTTACTTAAATGAATGGAAAAAAATTGGTTTATCTTTATTAATAATATTATCGTGTGATATTATCATTATTATTATCACATAATATTATATGTATTACAATATTTGTACTTTTATTTTATAATTATACTCATTATTTAGTAAACAGTTTAGAGTGTTATTTATTTTTAATTATATTTTGTTGAATATAGACGTATATTATATATCGTACGATGTATGAATATATTTCGTTTTATAATCATAATCATCCAACAAAATAATATGTTATAATCAGTAAAAAGAAGCTAACGCCTAAAAATAAATACTTTGGCAACATAACATAGATCTGGCGTAACAACACTATTTTATTTCCAATAAAGACCAAACATAGTGAAAGATGCCAAGCACTACGTATAACTTTGAATATGAATATTTAAATATGTTTAAAATATCAGATTCATAGCAAATTTATCGTCAACACAAACAAATTTTTGACGAAACGAGTTCAATAAAATTAGCATCCATTTTTACGATAGTTACGATTTGTTATTGAAATTACGAATCTTCAATAAACAAAACACAATTTTTTTTTGAATAAATATTAGAGTATCAATTACGTTTTAACTTATAAT